AAATACTGGAATACAGCATTTCCTGGAGTTTATAATTGTTTTATGAATGTAGCTCCGTATGTGTAAAACTAACGTTTTCATCGGTAGATTTTAAGTCCACTGCAGTGAATAGGTGGATTTATTTTTTGTTTTGTTTTTTTGTTATGTTATGTTATGTAGAACAAGTGACTTTTTACCAAAGTTCTTATATCCAAATTGATTTTGATTCGACATTTGTTCGGCTTATAAACCTTGTGCTATGCGGAACAATAAAATTTATGCATTAAATTCATGGTCAAGGGTAACGGACTTTTAACAGTAAAATTGTCTCATAGCTTACATATATCTATAAAAGCAGCTAGTCCGTGTTCTTTTCTTCTTGATTTTTATTTTAAACCGTTTAACTATTTGATAAGTGTTTGCCTGAAGAGTGGCATTTAAACTAAATGCATCAGCATTTGAAAGTGATGTCATTTTTAGAACGCATTTCGAACAATGAACATCTGGTGTGCTGGCAAGTTTCAAAATGTTGTTATTTTTAGGGCAGCAGTAAATTACACTCAGCAATTTATCACAGATGGAAAACATTTCCCGAACGTCTGATGTGTTGTGAAATCCGAACGGTCGAATGCAAATAGTCGGTCGGCTCCTTTGTAGGGGCCGATCGCATTAAATTACTGCTCAATTTATTAGCGTGCGATCTCGGATCGTCTGGCCTCTATGATGTATGTCCGGACTGTCCGAGGCGTGGCTTTGGCTCCGCTCTCTGTGAGAGTCGGCTCTTGGTAGCTCTTTACAGCCACTATCACCCTGACAACCGACCATAGAATAGAAAGCCGGCCGCGTCCTCCACGCGATGCTCCTCTGACGAGGTACGCGGCGCTTCTGACCCGATCGCAGATCGGCATTGTGCTCTGATTGCGGAGCGTGGGAGGACCATTAACCCTATTCCTGGCGGGCTCCGCCGGGACAAGAAACTGGCGGGGGGGCCGATTCGGCCCCCCTGAGATCTCGAGAACGAAGCAAGATAGCGACAAGCGGTAAACGGCATCGGATACGCATGGACAAGGTCTACAATTTTTACTAAGGTCATTTTCAGGTCAGGTCAAAGATGACGTCACAGGGGTCGAAAAAGTCAAAATGGTGGCGCTAGATATGGAGAGAGTTTTTCTCGAATTACTGTATGCCTGGCCTATTCAAATACATTAGCCAGAGGGGTGTGGTAATAACTGGTGTAAGCAAATTGACCACGGTCAAAAATGCATTACCAGAATGCACTTAAGCGAACATTTTGGGATGGTCTCGTTCCTAAGTCGGCTAAGAGCTTCGGTCCAGAAAATAAATTTATCGTTGGCATACAGTAAAATACATACCAAACTCGGCCGGTGATAAATTTTCAAGACCTCAGTCCTTACTGATTTTTGAACTCGGCCTTCGGCCTCGTTCAAAAATCCAGTAAGGACCTCGGTCTTGAAAATTTATTTACACCGGCCTCGTTCAGTATTATATATTACTTTCGAATTAGTCAAGATAGGAACAAACTAAGGGCATCATCGTGATCCTCTCGTCAATCCGCATCGAATGATATATATGTTGACCTCGAAAGGTCAAGGTCAAAGGTTGACCTCAGGTCACGTGACCTCGAGGTCATCATGTATATCATTCGATGCGTCTTGACGAGCTGAACACAATGAGACCATCCACGCGTCTGTATCTTGTTCCTGTACGGAGTTATTGGCCAAAAACCTTTGGTGACCTTTGATGACGTCACATGACCTCACAGCTGCCCAACAGCAAAACAGACCTCAAGGTAGTGAAGATTGATCGTATATGAAGTCATGTATGGTATATAGGGCCATTCCGACCCGTTTTAGTGGTAAAAACAGGGAGTTGATTTTTCCCCCATTGACTTATAATGGGGAGGTCGCGAAACTGACCTGACCTTAGGTCACCGATATCAAAATTCCGAGATATACAAATTGCACATACTGGTATCCTAACTAAAGCCTGAAGAGAAGAAATTGATCGGTCAAAAACTCTAGCTCTGGCGTGATTGCAAACTTTTCTGAGGCAGGGTCACCAAACCGCCTCTGGTGACCTGACCTGAGGTCAGATCAACTCAAAATTTTCAGACATGTTGCGTAGAAGCCTTTTAGGAAAAGTCAGAAAATTTGAGCTTCCTAGCTCAACGCGTTTGGGAGAAATAACCAAAAAACCTCAGGGGGGGCTCCTGAGGCCCCCCCCCCGCCAGGAATAGGGTTTAGTGGTGTTGGCGCAAGATGCCGCCAGCGGGCGAGAGCACACAGCGGCGCACTGCTGCTCCGTGCGCCGCGGACCCTGCCGAACGGCAGATGTGTGTGCACGGGTGGCGGCCGGTTAGACAAACATTAGAGGGTCCGCCGAGTCGCCGAGTCATCGCTGCACTGTGCACACTCTGCACTGACGCACCGACTGTGCACGGACGGTCCGTCCCGGGCGGTGGGCGTCGAACCTGCCACCAGTGATTAGCCAGCGGAAATGCATTACAGGCGTGTCGCAATGCTGATTTAGCGGCGCCACTCGTGCACGACATGCTGATAATTATTTTCCGCGTCAGCATCATGCAGTGTGAGCTGAATGGATGAACAGGAAACAAATGGAGAACGGCACTCTGGCTTCTTTGGTGTGGGAAGAAGGCAGGTGATCTGTGACGAATCTGTTTTGTGGTTGAAAGAACAGTCGCTGGCTTTGAAGAAGTACTCCCTTGCGCGGGGCTTGTTTTTCTAAGACGCTATTAAGATATGGAAGGTGCTTGCCAGTCAAGTAATACTTATCTCGATAGCTTTCGATACAAAGTGCAGACATATGCATTGTGCAACTTGGACAGAAGCATTTGCCACGTCACGTAGATATAAATTAAATAGTTGCAAAATGAAGTCATCAGGTTACCGTGAGATCCCCGGTCATACTGTAGAAAATCCCGGAACCAGTTTCAACTGAAATCTTTTGGGACCTTTACTTTCTTTCTAAACCATGACTTCTCCACTTCTTTTTGTTATTAAGCTAAAAGAAATTAGTTTATCCCCGATTGTCAATGACAAAGTTAGCTCAGACGCCCAGTTTGTCAAGGAATAACATGTACTAGTCTTAGCAGCAGATAAGCCAGTCCGTATTCAGAATGAGGCAAACTTCATAACAGCTGAGCTAGATAGTTGTATTTATTAATTAATAATTAAAGCAATGAATATATCGCTTTCTACCGAGACAGTAATGAGTTCAATACGGTCATTAGTAACTGGTTAAGACGGGAAATGATGCTCTTAATATATCCAGAGCTTATCTAACTCATGATATAAAATAAAATACATAAGGGCATGTGTCTCTGCAAAATGCAGCTAGCATCTCCAGCGGTCTATTAACGTTAATCTCTGAGACAGTCCGGAGTTATATAGTTTGATAGTGTTCAGCGCTGACAGTCTGAATTACTATGGATGTGTTGGACGTCACTTTGCTGTGATGTGTTTGCTGTCACCCCTGAGATAGGTACCTACTTACCAAATGCTTGACTATGGTATCAAATTTCAGCGATAGGGGATAATACCTGGCTTCACTTGGCAAGAAGGGTAGGAAGAGGAACAACATAGTACTGAAAAATATTGAAATATATTGAGACATCTACAATTCCCAAGGCTACAAGCTCGACACTGCACGTGCCCGTCACGTCATGAACACCGTGTGCAAAGTTCAACCCCCTCGACCGTACCGTTTGTGACCCGCTGAGGCTTGCCATGTATTTTCTTTTCAAAGTTCATTGAACCCGGCTGCCGACGCCTTGAAGCAAGCTTGAGAGCCGAGCAAAATTTGGAGGAAATGCGCCTTTTCCAGCGCGTGTCACGTGTAACCCATCCACCCCAAGACGCGAAACTCGACATTGCACTTGCCCGTGACGTCATCAAAACACCCTGCGATTTTCAACCTCCTCGAGCTCACCGTTTAACCTGTGCACGACGTCAAAGCACACCACTGCACGGTGCAAACACACAGACAGACAGAAAGACAGAATTTCATTTTACGAATAGTACCTATAGTAGAAACATATAATGCATATACATGTTGGACAAACTTATTCTGCTTTTCTAAATGCGTCGACATGTGTGCGTACTAACATTCACACAATAAACAAAATAAACGTGCATCCGTCTCCGAGAAGAATCGTCCAGATGTGAGCCGCAAATTATCTAAAGGGACTAGATATCGTTTTAAAGGCCGATAAGCGATCTCATAAAAGCGATCGATGGAAATCTAAACCTATACTTCCTACCAAATGTAACTTCCTGTAAACGTTTCTTATTTCTCTCAAAATTAGCTTATTTTTAGTAAACAGGCCTCGATATTTCAGGAAATGATAAACCTAATCACGGTTCACAGGAACTTGCGTCCTGTATCTAACTACTGTTTTTATGGTATAAACAATGGGAACTATTTTTAATTATATTCATTTAGAATGGCTACACGTGTTTCGACAAAAACGTCTTTTTCAAGCCTTAATATCCAACTGACAATAATTAAAACATTGGCCTAAATACACATCATGCAAGAGAATAAAGTGACATAACAGATAGTAATTCGTTTGAAAAAAAAAACATGTCGCATTCTATGTAACTATGTCGCACTCCTGTTCGCCAGATCCCTTACAAGTAGCTCAGCCGTGTACCTACTGATTTTACCAACATTGTCATTCAAAGTTGTAGAGCGTGGAAATGAATGCTGCCTATAATGCCTGTCTAGTGTCTATGTTTCTTTTGCAACCCTGAACACAGAATTGAACTTCCGTTCTAGTCTGGAAGGTGAACAGCCTCGTCGACATGCTGTACAAATGCATGAGACAATCTAGGGCTTCTCAAAAAGTTAGACGGATTTCTTTTGCGAATAGATGACCCCTAACAACATTTAAGCAAAATCAAAGCGCGTGGATAAACGAAGAATTTTTAGTAGATTTATATGATGCCATGGTTGTTGAGCTTAAAACATGAAGGCGGTAAAAGCAAAACTCTTGATATTATGCTTTCGCAGGTTAAGTCGGTCGGTTCGACACAACAGAAGATCCGCAAACACTTTAGGTCAAAGAGAGCACCATCTTAAAACAAAATTCCCCGGTTCCGAATACGCGTGTCCAAAAATCCTAGCGTACCGTTTTCTTCGTCTTCGCAGGTAAATTGTATCTTTGGGTGAACGTTATTGATGTCCAGTGCCCTAGATATAGCTTGAAACGCCCCTTCGTAAGGCACGACATGTTTCTTTGAACGAATTTACTATCTGTTATGTCACATTATTCAATTTTATGATGTGCAATTAGGCCAATGTTTTAATTATTGGTAATTGGATATTAAGGCTAGAAAAACATATTTTGTCGAAACACATGTAGCCATTCTTAAAAAATATCATAAAAAAATAGTTCCCATTGTTTATCCCATAACAATACTACTTGTCATCAGATCTTATTAACTACTGTTGTTAAATATCCACGCAATGTACTTGGAGACCTTCGTGTAGATGGTGGGGTATTTGGGGTTGCCGCAGCCCAGTCCTGTGGATACGACTCCGATCACCTGGTAGCGGCGCTCTATCCCAGTGGTTCTGTACACCAGAGGCACTCCCGAGTGGCCCTGACACGCGTCCTTGGGCGTTCCGTCGGCACTGCTGGCGCACAGTTTGGTGCCCTGAAATCCGCCGGGGAAGTCGCGATCGAACGTTAACAGTTGCTCATACGCCTGCTCGCAGCGACTGACGTTTACCACGCGCAGTCGCGCCTCCTGCAGTACGTCCGAGGCCTGGCCGTTGAACTCGGTGCGCCCCCAGCCGGCCAGGTCGGCCGTCTTGCCCGTGTGGCTGGCGTCGACGGCCGGCAGGCAGACCGGCTGGATCCTGCGGCTGAACGTCACCGGCCGACTGAGCTGCAGCAGCGCGATGTCGTTCTGCTTACCCACGTAGCCCGGGTGGATCGTGATGCGCGCCACGGAGACATCCACGTGCCGTCCGTCGTTGGTTCTGGAGAGGTCGTGCTCCCCCAGCCGGACGGTCAGGTCAGAGGGCTGCCGGCCGACCGCGCAGTGGGCCGCCGTCAGCACGGTGCGAGCCGAGATGAGCGTGCCGCCGCAGTTCCAGCGGCGCTGTCCGTCGAGTCGCTCTTCGAGCAGCGCGACCCACGGCCAGCGGCCCAGCTCTTGCTGCACGTTCTGACCACCGACAACGGTAGAGACGTTAAGTCCTGGATCTGCCGTCTTTGGGGAAAGCAGTGAAGTGCTGCGGCGAAGACGAGTAGTAAGTGAAGGGGAAAATATTCCGCTGGGCTGGGCCACGCCGCAATCTCTCACCAGTTGACGCCCCAGCTGATGATCTCCATCGAAGATAATCTGACCACAGGCGACGGACAGCAGAGCTGTCGCCAGCGTGGAACGGGCGGACGCCATGCCGAGCAGCTACTGACCAACTCCGCGGCCGAGAACCGACTGGCTGACACCATCAGCCAGTCTTTGTTTTATTCTTTACCGACAGCCTGCAGCCTGGAAAGTCCATCGAACACGAACAAATGTCCACGAAGCTTTGTGTACCGGTAATCTTTTCCAGGAACCTCACCTCAGGAGCGTTTGCGGCTCTGATCTTTATCGAATAGAGGAAGATGGGGGAACACCGCCCTTTGGAGAACACCGCCCACCCCGATATCGGAAATATAAAAAGTCTAGGGCGACAGCTGACAGTCTTTAAGCAGCATGACGACAACAGAAGTGCAGGTATGGGCACTGGGCAGTGCACCGCATTGGTTTAGGCGATTTGCTAGGAATTCCTAATCTTACGTTTCGTGAATACGTTTTATACTTTTTCTAGCATAACAAGCAGAAGAAAACTGAAAACTGATGACTCATCCAAGCATTACGTGCTCCAGCTCGAGCAAAATTTTTTTGTCGTGCTGCCATATTAAAGGATTTTTTTTTTAAGAAAAAATGCAGACACTTGGGTAAGACCGCCCACTTGGAAAATTTGATATTTAATAGCACATTGTGAAACCTGATCCAGGAGTGGCGTATTTCAAATAAAGAAAGAACGTTGTTGCTATGTTTTCTTTTTAGAGAAAAATGAAAAATTTCGAGAAAATGAAATTTTGGGACTTTAAGCCGTCTAGTTATAATAATGAGTACTATATTGTATCAGGGATATTGTATCATTGTATCAGAGAGGTCAAGGTCACCTGAAGGTTAGGTCAGGTCATTGACTTTTGATGATCTCGGTTCACTTTTTCGAATTTTACATGTTTCCAGGTTAAGGTTTTTGAGCTGAATTCGAATTTAGCAACCATTTGAACATTTACAAAGTTATAGTTTTTGGTGCCTTCGTAACATGTTACGAAGCTGTCAGAGGCGGATGACACGTACTACGAATATCCGGCAGGACCCCTGCTGGTTGAACTGACCTGACCTGACCCGACCTGGCGTAAATGCATAAAGGCATCATCTGCAATCAAAACTAACATGATATTCGTGATCAGCAACCCGAAAACCCATAACAGCCACACTTAACGACGTTCTATCAACCAGGTCCCGATTTTCCCGACTTTTGGGTCATTGACCTGACCTGGAAGGTCAACCGATTACCTAGGACCTTAAAATTGAGTATCATCGGCTTCCTCTCGTCACGGGCAGCACGCTTGTTTTTTTTTTTCTGCGAAGCTTTTAGCTCGATCAGGGGCCAAACGCGAGTGGGGGATGGGCGGGGGGTTTCGTACCCATCTCCCTTGTGCCGTCGAAGGACGCAAAATGACCTGTGCCGGCAAGGGTTAACCCCCAGAGACTCGAAACACGACACTGCACGTGCCCGTGACGTCAACACCATGTGCAAATTTCAGTCCCTCGGCCGCACCGTTTGACCTGTGCACCACGTCTAAGCACCCCTCTACACGGTGCAAACAGTCAGAAGGACACACAGACAGAGTTTCATTACTTAAATAGTATAGTAGACAAGCAGCTGCCCCACTTGCTTCGTGACGTGGTCATAAAATGCGGCAGCAGCCAATTAGCTTTTCGAGTGGTGTTGGATTTATATTGATATGTCGTCTGGAAGCAGAGATTTAGACGGAAATGTGCAGAGGAAACTTTCTTAGGGTTTCGTTGAGTGTAATTTAGGTGATACGGGGTCAAGTCGGGTCAAGAGCTAAGGGTGTCATCACCGGTCACATTGGGTTAGGTCAGGTCACCTTCGGTCAGGGCAGATCATATATGCCACCTCCCGTCACATTGAACCAGCCTGGTCTACACTTTTCCTACTTCTACCCCTACGTCTTCCCCTACCACTACCCCTACCCCAACCACATCAGATGATGCGGGAGCAAGTTCAAGGTCAAGTGGGAACGACAAAAACAACCACAGTCAAACGGAAACGCAAAAGAAAGAAGCGCAACTCGTGCTTGATTGATCAACTTCTAGCTGAAAGTGAATCGAGCAGCACAGTGATCGAATAGCTGGCTAGTATGCCATGCTATGGGAAGGAATTCATCCACTTCTCCGCAATTGTCTATCACTTATCGATTTCCCACCCCACCAGCTACAAGCCGATTCTCCGAAAGGTCGTGTGGGTGATGATGGTCGGTGGTTTCCCCGTTGTATGATACCCAGCTGAGTGATCCGGGGGGTTGCCGCGAGGGGGAGGGGAAGACCAGAGTCCGGCAACTGGCAAAACCACAGCGGCTGACTCACGTGCGGGGAATGTGACGTGATATCGCCAGCAAGCACCAGTCAGTTCAGCGTCAAAGTGCAGAGCTAACGTGTAACTTATACAGCGAAGTTCTGATAGGCAGACATCGTAGGCCAGCCTAGAAAATCAGCTCTTGAAACATCAATATCATGTCAAATCAAATAAATATGCGCTGACCTTAGATGATTCAGCCACCATTGAATTGATATACCATAATGTACTGCGCAACTTTTCAAGTTGATTTTACTCTGCACTTCCCCGGGACATCTCACATCGTCCTCACCACCTCTGTCGAGACTCGTAGATCGACTCCCTCCCCTTCCTCCCTTCTCAATCCCCGGTTACCTCCATCGAATCCTCATCGGCGTCGTTCTCCTCTTCGTTTAGCTCATCATCGACATCGGCAGGCACCTCGTCGTTCTCCATGTCGGCACCGGCGGCGGCGGCCGCCAGGTCCGCCGCCGTGGCCACCTGCACCTGCGTCACGCGGCCGTCGATGATCGCGTACGCCACCTCGTTGGTGTGCCGCAGCCGGACCGGCATCTGGATCTGCTCGCCGTCGGTGCCGTCGCGGCTGCGCGCCGTCTCCGACGAGTCGTCACTGTGTGCCGGCGGACTCCGCGCCGCCATGACTCCCTGCCCGACGCCGCACGCTCGCTCCCGGCAATCGCACGCCACTGGCGCGGCCGACGGCGCCGGCGGCGGCGGCGGCGGAGCACAGGTGCGCCGGCGCCGCCGCCTGCTCAAAATGGCCGCCTGCCCTCAGGTGCGACCTTGGGCACACGGGCCGCCGGCTGCCTAGCCACAAGGCCGGTCGGCCGCGGACAAAGCCTGAGGTGTTGCCCGTGACCTTAGCCGCGGGCTGTTGGTCTCGGCCGGTCAGACGCCATGAATTTGATCGAGATTTGTGGGCAGTTGCTGCTCAGTGTTCATGTCCCCTCTGATGGAAGCTCAGTGGGCAGACAGAGTATAAGGCGGAGACGGGCCCGATCAGCCCCACCGGACCTGTCGCTGTGCCCTGTGGGATGTTCGATCGCCCCGACCCTTCGGCCAGGCGCTATCTGCCCCGCGCATCTGGCCTGGCTGGGGACGAACTGACGCGGTATGACGGCGGCTCGGTCAGTTCTGGCTGGGGACGGGCGCCGATCGACTCAGACGCTGTTCAGGCAGGGAGCGGGGAGGCGAAAGATGCCAGTAATCTTGTGATTTTTACAAAAATTCCTTTCTTAGTAAGTCAGGTGACCTCTTTGAAAGTGAGTTCACCTGTTAGTAGTTCAAAGTATAATAAGGAATCTTTCTTTTTGCGGTCACTGATAAATTACGTCCTGTGCACGACCCTGTCTGTACCTGTAGCCGCGGAATCTCCTCCCCTCCCGCTGGAGGAATGATGGGAACACATTAGGAAATTAGCCCGGTTTTTATTTTCGCGCTTGAAACAGTAAGCAAGACATGTAGCCTTAATGAACTTAGTATTTTGTTTGGCTATAGTCCAAATGTATATGTCCACAGCTAACCAACTACATAAAACGAGTGTAAGCCACACTGAGCTACGCAACTGTAGAAAACAAGAGATGACGGTGCAAAATATGACTACCAGAGGTGCTGTGTGTGTGTGTGTTTCTGACCAGCTTCGCTGAAGCAGGACTCACATATGGCCAGAGGAATGGAAGGGTGAAAAGGAAGTTTCCATTCAGTCGGCAACACCCCTGACCCGGTTGGATATTGGCGTCAACTACGAGCGTATGGGGTAGGGTCCTGCTGGGCACTCGACTACCTACCTATAAAGAGAGAGAGAGAAAGAGAGAGAGAGAGAGAGAGAGAGAGAGAGAGAGAGAGAGAGAGAGAGAGAGAGAGAGAGAGAGAGAGAGAGAGAGAGAGAGAGAGAGAGAGAGAGAATGAGAGAGAGAGAGAGAGAGAGAGAGAGAGAGAGAGAGAGAGAGAGAGAGAGAGAGAGAGAGAGAGAGAGAGAGAGAGAGAGTCAGCTTGCTCTCCAGTAGCGATTTCACATCCTGTTCCGACGCTTCCCTGGCTGTTCTAATCGACACGCCCTCTCAATCAACGGCTGTGTCGATCACACGCATTTCCCACACAGCAGCGTTCCATGTGGGAAACCATGGATGATTTACTCGCCATCGTTTTGGGCAGAGATGTTATGAAATACGTAAAAAAGCCTAATTGACAATCGTGGGTCTGAAAAGTTTGCCAGCGCAGCCTGATATACAACATATAGGTACCTACGTGTTTTGATAATAATTCAGCTAGCCCTGACTTCATCGAATATTCGAGCACACGCATTCTATATGCTTGTGTTTATAGTTGCCGCCCGTGCACAAGCCTTAGCTTATACGTGAATATCAATAGTCAATGCCTGCGCTTAGAAAAAAAAATGGTTTACTGCTCCCATACTGCACCATAGGGGAAAGTGGGGTAAGACGGTCAGGGTAGGTAAGACGGGCACCCCTTCTGCAGACCAAACCAATAGCGCTACGAGCGAGAAAAATTAGGACCAGAATTGTCTTTCCCACTACACACCACCATTGAAGTTTGGTGATTTTGTGTTCAGTCGATAATCTTTTATTTTGATTTCTTTAAAACACTAATTTCATTGAAAACATCCATAATGTATTGTGCAAGTTTTTGTGTGCAGCACTATACAGCTAAAAACTCGCAATCACTTGTGGTACACTCATATGCCACCAGTGTTCATTTACCGCGGATTTGCTTTGTCTGCATCAAATTGTCCACAGAGAAAA